GGGGTCGGGTGGAGTGGTGCTTATGGGGCGGGCAGGGGGGGGAGCAGGAGGGGCCCTGAGGGGTGTCCTGGCGCGGGAAGGAGGGTCCCTGCCCCGGGGGAGTGCTGAGAGGACGGACCCCTCTCGGGGAGAGCCGGGGGGGTCCTCGACCGGGGCAAGGGAGAGGGCCCTCCTGTCCAAGGAGGGGGGGCTCGGGAGTTTTGGGGGGGGTCTTGAGGCAGGTCTGCAGAGCCAGCCCCACACTGGCTGGTGGGAGGGGGGGGGGGGGGTCTGGGAGGTGGAGGGTTCTTGAGAAGCGTGCTCGTTCCTTTTTCTTCTGAAATGCAGCGAAGGGGAGGTGGAGGACTTTGTCAACAGTAGTCCAAGCTGCGAATACTGTAAATAACTTAAAAAAGAGAGAGGGAGCCTCAGACTTAAATCCTCCCTGAAAGCATCCAGCTGGGAAGAGAGTAGGAATGCAAGGAGAGGCCTCCAAATAATTAATAAGTGACAAAGGTTCAGTTTAATATGAGAAGAGAAACTGATCTGTTTTAGTAATGATCCAGCTTCTCCTTTTTTTTCCAAACACACCCGGAGTGGTAAACTCCGGTCTCACAAATACGTAAGCTGATGGTTAACTTTGTGAACGCAGAATTCAGTGCAACTACTCATGCCCGGAAACCATGCAAGTGTTTTCAGCGTGGGCGACGAGAAGGAACATTTAAAAAATACTGTCTGTCCCACAAGAAGTGCGAAAGGGGGAAAAAAAACAAACCCAAACTGGAAAGTCCTAAAAGGCAGAGGGGTTGTGGTAGTCAAACACATGCATCGTAAATGCATCAAAGGTCCTGATTGCAGGGTAAACTCTGAAAACTGCTCTGGGCTCTTGACTTCCAAGCCTCAGGTGTTGCACGTAATAACTGCACGCCTGGAAAAAGCTACAAGTTCAAAATAGTCTTATAAAGTGAGATGCGTTTGCGGAGGGAGGTGATGTGGGCAGTGTATCTTGATGAGATTTAGGGGTGAGGTTTGCTCTTTGGCTTTACTGATAGCTGGTTCTATTGGTCACTGAGGACAGGGTGGGATGTTTCTCTTGAAAGAATAAGAAAGAAAGAAAGAGAGCTTTCCAACTATTTCATAGATCTGTAATGGAAGAAATTGAAGGAAAAAATCAGTCGAGAGCCTCGGTGCTGTTGGAATCGCTGTTATGCTGGGTGGCACGGTGCCTCTTTGCACAGACATTCGTTTGTAGCCGCTTGCTGAACGTTGTACATGAGTTAATGGATAGACTTTGAAGTCAGTCTTTGATAAGACTGGCATACCAGTGTAACCCTATCGTTGAGAAAAATGCTATAGTTCACTATTGCCATAATTATGCTATGCTTTATGTAGCTTGGAATAGAGACACTGTTGTTTGGTGCGTTGAGCACGGCTTTTGGGTTTTGCTCCTTTTATGACCTTGAACAAGTCACTGGAGGATAAAACCTACCAAGGTTTGTTTTATCCTCTACCAGCAGAGAACAGGGATAGTTCCCCCATGCTTAGCTGCTAGTGCTGGGGTCAGAGGGAGTGTCTCGGAGATTAAATCATGTTCTTAAAGCGCTTTAAAAATCAAAATGATGTTGTGCAAGGAGCGCGAACAGCTTTGCCGTTGCTTTTATAGGTTCTGCTGTTGGAACTGAATCCACATGGGCAAGTCTTTGTGTCCGTGCAAAGCGCTGTTGAGGTAAGCAGGATTTTGCAGGAGCTCTGGTGGCTTGTGGTGTCTGACCTGGTTGCTGACCCTGTGTGCTGCCTTCTCTTGATGTTTCAGGGCACGGGACTGAAAAATACGATGAATATTTATGCCTCTTTATTGGTCGTGTTGGGCCTAGTTCTGTATGGGAAGACAGTGTCTCCAGATGGGCCGTAGTTGTACAGCGCTTTTAAAATGTCTCTGCCTCACTGCTTTTTGTTTGTTTTCCATTTCTTGCTCCCACCTTTTAAAGCAGCTTTCGGCAAATACTTGTTCCCATGTATAAAGATGTCCTTAGTGGACCTAGGGAAGAGGTTGCTAGAAGCAGCTCGCAAAGGCGAAGATGACGAAGTGCGAAAGCTGATGGCAAGCGGTGCTCCCTTCACCACTGACTGGGTACGTCGGAGGAATAGGCATTGGTTTTCTGTGTGAAACAGGTTGCGTGTGTGTTCTTTAGGGCTGGACCTGAAGGATACAAACGGAAATTGGAGCAGTAAAACCAGAGTGTGGATTGGCAGAAAATGCATCTCTGGATTTCTGTGGCGCAGCAGATTCCAGATGAAGCACTTTAAAAACCAAGACCTTCCTCAGGCAAAGATGGAATTGATGTTTGTGTAAAGATTGATCTCTGCTTAATGCACGAGAGCACAATCATAAGTACCGTGCTGTCCCGGACAGCAACGTATATAGGGTTCGATGCTTTAAGAAGTGCAGTTCTCAACAGCTGAGATAAATGGTGAGTCAAGTCAAATTGGAAGAACTGTTAAATCTCTCAGCGATAGGAAGTTCTTTCAAGAATGCTTCATTTAATTGTTTAAACTCTCTCAATCAAGAAACTCATCTTTGTGGTTTTTTTTTTTCCCCTTAAAAAAACAAAACCCTGAAAATAAACCAGCCCATCCTGGGTTGGAAAGGAAATAAAAGCTTTAATGAAACTGAAGAATAACAGTTGGATAAACAGGGAACCGGAGTATAATGAAAAACAAACCCTGAAAATAAACCAGCCCATCCTGGGTTGGAAAGGAAATAAAAGCTTTAATGAAACTGAAGAATAACAGTTGGATAAACAGGGAACCGGAGTATAATGAACAAGCCATCGGTAGCCATTTTCCATCACCAATTGTCTTCATTTCCTGACTTACCAGTCTGTTCATTCATAGTTTTGTGAGATGGAGGAATTAACCGTATCGAGAGGAGCAGAGCTTAGTCATATTGTAATACTGCCCTTTTCTAAACAGCGGTGAAATGATCTGTCATGATATGGAAATGGCAGAGCTGTTCCGCTGTGGTTTGGACAAGAAGCAGAGTGGTGCTCAGGGGATAAATTAGTGGCACAGTGGAGAAAGTAAAGCATATTTGATCTTCAAGTTATCAGATAACATAAAGATCCCTAAAAAGTTTAATGTTTATCAGGAAAATTATTGGTTGTGCAGCCCCCTTTTTCTGAGTGGAGGAAAAAAAAGGTTAAATTAATTTCTTCCAGAAGCTTTGTCATTCCAATTACTGCCGGACATACACATGGCGATTACTGTGCCTGTCCTCTCTTGCTGTGAACTGACAGCAGCTCTTCTAAATTAACACGCAGCTTGGGACGTCGCCTCTTCACCTCGCTGCCCAGTACGGCCACTATTCGACAGCAGAAGTGCTGCTTCGAGCTGGCGTTAGCAGAGATGCCCGAACAAAAGTGGACCGGACGCCACTACACATGGCTGCGGCTGACGGACACACTCATATTGTAGAACTGCTAATTAGGGTAAGTACAGTAGATTAGGTATCACTTTAAGGCTGGTCTAAATGGTCCTTGGAGTTAAGTGTTGATGTCCCTGTTTAAATGCTAGCGCAGGCACCGCCTTTAAGACATTGAGAGAAGGCAGCGTCCAGACAGGTACCGCTTATTTCTTTCAGAACGGGGCTGATGTAAATGCCAAGGACATGCTGAAAATGACCGCTTTGCACTGGGCGACAGAGCACAACCACCGGGACGTTGTAGAGCTGCTCATCAAATACGGAGCTGATGTCCATGCTTTCAGCAAGTTTGATAAATCGGCTTTTGATATTGCTTTGGACAAGAACAATCCAGAGACTCTGGTAATGCTACAGGTAGGTTGAGGAAGGAGAAGCTTGTTGGTCATTCTCTGACCTACAGCTGTATCTGCGCTAGAGTGAGAGGGATCTTGTCGTGTCTGTTGGGGCCGTTTTCTGTTCGCAGAGAGAACTAGAAATACGGAGGTGGATGAGGTTTGTATTATTTCTAGATCGACCGGTGTGTGCCTGCTAGGACTCAGTGGGTGATGGGGTTTTATTGCCATGCATCTTGCGCGGTTGTAGCGTAAGTTGCCAAGCTGAGGTGGCAGTTTTGTCACAGCTTTTGCACTGGTGTCCCTGACGTGCTGCAGAGAGAAATAATCTGCCTCTCAAATGTTTCAAGGATGCTGAATACCACAGAAAGCGTGACGAATGTATGCCTGACCCCACTCTCTTTCCTAGGAAGCAATGCAGAACCAGGTGAACACTCATCCAGAGAGAACGGATCCCATCACCAACACTGTGACTCTCACCTCGCCATTTATTCTTGCACCAGGGGAAGTTCTCAATCTCGCTAGTCTCGTCTCTTCAGCAAATGCCAAAACAACCTCAGGTAGGGTTTTATGTGACCTTGAGTGGGAGTGTCTTGAAAAAAGTTCCTAAGACTGCTTACCAGTAGGGGGCAGATGGTCATTTAGTAGAGGAAAAATGAAATACAGCCAAACACACCCAACTACTGCTTCCTGCCCCAGAATATTTTTGCCGTCGAAGGTAACAGCAGATTTCTAGCTGATGTAAATAAAGGTGGTTCTGCTGGAAGTGGCAAAGCTCTGCTGAGCTCGGCTGTGGGTCTGCTCCGGGTCTGTTACAAGCAACAGAGCTTGAGAAAATGGATTTGGCTGATTGCAGCAGAGGAATAATGAGAATTATTGCCTGTGCCAAATTCTGAGCACTGCAGAGTGGTTGGGGAATGGTTTGCTTTGTTCTTTACTGGCTTCAAGCATTGAATTAATGTTTTGCTATATATAAATGTTGAGTAAGGAAACTGCAGAATAAGCAGGTCTATTGGGTATGTAGCTTAGTCCTTATTTCTTCTGTCCCACATGTTAGATGGAAATAATTAGGTTCCTCATTGTTCTGTGAGCCTTATTTTGGTGGGGAAAACACTTTTAACTTAAGGCTGAGTGCGAATTCTTTTTGTGTAATTCCAATTTTCATAATAACTCTTAAAGTGAATTTTCTGTATTTGGGAAATCCAAACCATTGTTTCTTTTCAGTCTCAAGGAGGCTACTAAATGCAAGTGTTGTGAAGCTATTTGGCCTCATCCTGCAAACACTTCTGCATGTGAGTAATTCTTTGGTTAGTGGGACTGTTCACATGCGTGAATGTTTGCTTATTAGCTAGAGAGTGCTTTTAAAATCCCCGATACCGATGTTCTGCGGTCCCACCCAGACCTCTCTGCCTGTGCCTGGCCACAGCGACTTCAGCAACGCTCCAGACTTGCTCTCAAAGCTTTTGGGGCTGCTCGCAGCTTTGAGGCACTGACAAATCCTAATTTAGAAGGGGAAGAATGACCGAAAATGTTCCTGTTCCACCTGTGAGGAAACTGCAGTGTGACTGGTGCACAATGTCTTCGGTCAAGGATATTCCAGAAACTCAAAGGGGCATAAAACATGGGATTTTTGTACCCCGGGAGATGCTCTGGCCACGGTCAGTGTCACTGTCTCTGCAGACGGATCTGGCTCTGCCTGGAAGCCAGGTAGGAGTCGGAGAGGCCAACGCCCTGCTGAAAGGCTGTTAGTTGAAATCATTTTTCTTTTTGTATCGCCTCCATCCCTTTGATGTGGAAATCAGTCCTGTCCTCTCTCTGCCTTTGTTTTGCTGGGCTAAGCAAGCCGGTCACCCCGAGTCCCTTGAATCGCCCGTGGCGTGTGGGTGAGCGGCCGCAGGCAGCGCTCCAGCTGCGCTCTTGGCACTGGCCTCGTAAATCCCCATCTCTCACCGCACCTCTCCTCACATATCCTGCAATGTAATCGCCTTTTTCAGTGCCACAACACGGCGGTGGCTTATTGTCCACGTGTGACTGGACTAAAATACCCTGGGTTTTTCCCCCCACGACACTTCAAGCACCGGTAATAGCCGGTCAGCGTGAAAATAGCCAGTGTCTCCTGAGGTTTTTTTCTCATTTCCCACAAGAGGGCATCAGCGACTGCACCTTCGTTATAACAAAAATCTCTTATTTAACACTTACAGCTAATAATTGTTCGTGCCTCTCTTAAATTCCCTCTGTCTTCTTCTGAAGAAATCTGGTCACAAGCTGCTGAAAACAGTCACTAGGCCTGTGGTATTTTCACATGCCTAGCCCACGGCCTTCTGAAAGTATCGTTCTTTGAAAATGAGTCCCTCGATAACCTTTGTAAAATCAGGAGCCGGTGAGAAAGAGAGAAAATAGGTTGCAAGGGTTAAGGCTGGGGAACTTTGGATGAACTTCCCTTTGTATGCTTATAATCTATTTATCTACACTGGCAATGAGGTACAGGATCTCTTTTTTTTTTTTTTTTTTTTTTAAAGAGGACTTGTGAGTTATATGCACTGAGTTTGCGCCCGTTTAGTTAATTTCCTGTTCCATTCTTATTAAGTCTGCCTTTGAATAGGAATTACTATGGTCAATTGGAGGAAGAAACATTGTTTTTTTTGAACCCAGAAGACTTGTTTATCTCATTCAAATCAATACCCCGTTGCAGTAACCGTGGCCTTTCCGTTACTGAACCTGAGAGGGGAGGAAGAAAGGACCTGTGTGCCCAGTACATTGAAATCAAGTGATATACGTAGCCAATTTCTGCGTTTGAGCAAAAGGCTGTTAACTGACTTGTGCTAAAACGTTTGGTCTATGAAGTAATGCTGAAGACTGAACTTGGAGACTTTCCCAACTGAGGAAGAACTTGGGTGCTGTAATTTACTCATAATAGCAAATGAGTTTAATATCGTCTTTAGGTTTTGCAATTTTTGAAAGTTCCAGTACGACACGAAGCCAAGTAATTACGTGCGTAGCAACCGCTCTGCACAACATTACAGCAGTCAGACTCCAGCACGTCTGTGAGTGTCATCAGGCAGCGTGGCTGCATCTTGAAAAGCCGTCCACGTCTCCAGATCGAAGCTCGGCATGCCAAGTAGCCCGGCAGACAGCCTGCCTTTCTCTAGTTCTTACAATAAAGCTGGAGCAAATCGGTTCACGTTTGCTGTTCTTTTTGTTACGCGATTCAGAAATAACTTAATGAAATATTTGCTTTCGATTCAATTAAAATGATCATAAAATATTCGGAGTGGGTACAGTCTGCCCTAAAGTAGCATCAAAGCCCTTTTTACAGTTAGTAGAGGCACCTCTCATGAAAAATGATCTGTACCACCTCCCTTTATTGACCATTGGGAGCCCAGAAAATACTTCATACCTGGTGTCGTCATCTCTAGATGACAAAACTGTTGCATTCTGTATTCGCTGTTTAGATATGGCAGGTCCTGACAATCCTTCAGTTTGCCCTCATCTTTCCCAACCAGGTGACTCGCATGTCTCGACGGTGCAGTTTTCCAATTCAACGACCTCCGTGCTTGCCACGCTTGCGGCCCTCGCTGAAGTATCGGCACCGCTTTCCAACTCAAACAGAGACACAGGTAGGGGCAACGGGTCGGATGCTGAGCCAAATTTGTGTAGTTCTAGCGAGTATCTTGCGAGGAAATTGAAGGAAATTTGGGATGTGGAAGTGAATTTGCCTTCTTTCAGAGTAAGGGAGAGGTGATGATAAATACTTGTGAAGCAGTGGGTTAATTTTGTTTATTTATTTAATCCCAGTTCAAACTTAATTAAAAAAACAGCAACTGTTACCCACAGAAGTAACTTAATTTTTATTAACCAGCATGTCTGACCCTGACATCACAGTACGTTGCTCTTGATGTGCTTTAACAGTTACATAAAAAAGAAAAAAAAAAACCAAACCCAGCGCACCAGAACATGGGTTTACTTTAACATATAAACGTAGATAAATATTTGTTTAAGAAGGAAATTGTCTGAAATGTTTTCTGTCCCCAGTTTGCTGTAACATGTTGGTAGTCAACAAATGTTTTGAGTCTCTTGAGGCTCTGGTAACTTTTTCTTATGGAAAGGATTGGGCGTTTTTTGTGTTTGCGTTGTTTTTATGATCTTTTATGGTATGTTTGTAGAGTGTAATGTTTGACCTTTAATTAACTTCACATTTAGAAATTTGATAAAGTTTATATAACCCTTTCACCTTGGAATTCATTTATTTTCCCCAAAGCTAAGCGTTTTTCCTAGAATCTAGAGACGAGCAATTTGACTTCTTTAAGCTGCCGGTGCCACACCGCTGATTCCTTGACCTGCGGTGCTCGAGTGTTTTCCTCTTTGGCACCCAGACCGTGTGTGGCAGGTCAGATCCCCTCTGTTTCCTGCGCTTGCAGCGTACGCTGGGAGCAGGATGCAGCCGAGGGTTTGCGATCCTGATTATTTGTGCGAGCCGTAAGTCACACAAAAAGTGTCCCAGGGAGTTGAACCGGTCTGCGGTCATCCGGCCAAACTAAACAGCCTCCTCATGGTTGCTTTGGCCGTGCTGGTGTGGACGGGGCTCTTGAGGCATGAGGGGTTTTTTTGCGTGTGGTTTGTCTTCGTTAGAGCTGGGGGAAGGGTCATGGAAGGAAGCTTTGCAGAGCCGGGTCTGCTTAACAGCTGCCTCCAGCTCCAGGCTTTTTAATTTGATTAATATGCTTGTGTGCTAGTACTTACTAATTTACACAAAAATGCTGATTTTACGCTAGAAGACTTGTTTTCTTTCCCCTACTAAGGCTTACTCTGTTTCCAGATTGTTTTTCATAAGAAGGCATCCCAGGAGTCTCAAGCTGCTTACTTGAGCTTTTTCACTAGACTTCAGTTTCTATTCAAGGAAGAGAGAAGGAAACGCTGACTTTTTTTTTTGGCACTTTACTTTATTTCTCAAGGTAAGGCGGAGGAAATAGTGGAAGCAAATTCTGTCGATTCTGCCATACAACAAGTGGTTGGCAGCGGAGGGCAGCGCGTCATCGCCATTGTAACAGACGGAGTTCCCCTGGGCCAGCTGCAAACAGCCATCCCCACCAGCGGCCTCAGCCAGCCCTTCATCCTAACCATGCAAGATGGGCAGCAAGGTAAGGAGGAGCTGAACTCGGAAGGCAGCGCTGAGGATTAACTTCAAAAAGGAAAAAAATAACTGCTGCCTGTGAAGCCTGTCGAGCCCCGCAGGGCAGGCGGCTGGTGTGACCTGGCTTGTCAGCGCTGTGGTGTAACGGATCTGTGCCTGACCGCTGGGCTCCAGGAGGGGTTAAAATGTCTGTGTGACTTATGTCAGCGGGAAAGCTTGCCAGCGACTTGTTTGTAGCTTAATACACATTCACGGTGCTACGCTTTAATATTTTGGTCTTTGCGTTAAAACCAAATACCTTTGGTAGAAGGTTGCAGGAGGAGAAATGCCAAGTTAGCTGTTGTCTCTTTGGCAGCCGGGCAAAGACGATTCCTTTATCTTCTGGTGAACTTCCTGGTCTGGGAGTAAATCACTTGGCCGATGAAACTGCAGCCTGTTACCTTTAGCAATCGCTCCATCGTTCTTGTAAAACTTAGTATTAGGCCATTAATATCAGCTTAAATACACCTTTTCCTCCCATAACTCCGTTATATCGCCTAGGGCAATACAATCTATCAATTTTACAAGGCAAAAGTAAATCGCGTTCGGTAAAGCTCCAGAGCATTCGTACAGTGAATTTTTGTTTCCTCAAGGGCTGTAATTCATCAGCCTTGTCTGCTACTGACAGTTCTTTAGGCATGTCCTAGGTTTATTCGATTATTTGGATTAACGGTGGTGCAGAAAAAGAGGATTAGGAAGCAGAGCAGCTCTCCTGTAACACGCATGCAGTGTTACAATGTGAGATAGGTTACATCAATTCTGTTTACGGACTTCACGAGTGAAAAGCAATTTTCTAAAGCTGTTAATTATTCAGAATTATTTACCAAATTACTACAAATAATCCTGGCTTGTAACCCACTCTTGGACTAAGGAAGACAAAGGGAGAACTGTTTAGGTAGAGCTACCTTCAGTAGCTCACGTGGTGCGTTTCTCCTCCTTGGTTGGACGAATTCTTGCTACTGGCTTCCCGAAGTGAAAACCCATGTTTGCAGATTTAAAATGTGTTTATTCTCTGGAGTATTTGCAGCTCTTGCATGCGCTTAAAGCTGATTCGGAGCTTAGCCACTGGGACTGTCTGTACTGGGAATTTTCGAGAAGAGCTTTCTATTCCTCTTGCTTAGCCTGTCTTGGCTATTAATTGCATTACTGAGGCATCAGAATGATAGTTTTTTACCTCGCATGTTTTCTAAGATGCAAATCTTTGACTTCAGAGTCTGTCAGCCCCGTTGTGGTGAAATTCTCAAGTATTTCAGAAACCTGAATAAAGGAAACTGGAAACCCGGTCCAGAGTTTCTCTCCTCTCCGGGAAGACTTCGGCATTGCCGATCCACAGGTCTCCTCTTTTTCTCCAGAACCACGCTGATGCACTGACTTCAGAGAAGTCTTTCGGGAAACATCTGTGCAAAAGCATGTCTCACACTGTATGATTTGTCGCCTTTTTAATTTTCCAGTTTTAACTGTACCTGCTGGTCAGGTTGCAGAAGAGACTGTTATTGAAGACAGAGATGACGCAGAAGAGGAAGAAAAGCCACTGGCCAAGAAGCAAAAAGTGGAACAAAACGTAGATGACTCGAAGGAAGACAAGGTAGATACTCCTGCTTGTAACTTTGATAGCCGCCATCTCCTGCGTGTTTCTCTGCTGTGCTGAGGATGTCGGGCTCCCGGTCTGCCAAAGCCACCTCAGAATAGAAACGAGCTGCGCCCTGCTCGGCTGAGCCCGGGGATGTCTCTGTAACAAACTCTGCTGGGTGGTTCTCTGCTCTTCCCGCACATGCTCCTGCGTTAGCAATGAACACGCAAGCGGCTGAGAGGAGCAGTGCTCAGTCGGGTATAGGTAGGAGGAAAAGAGCTAGCTAAATCACTTGTTGCCGTTTTGCCTATGCTGAAGCTGTAGCTCAGGGTTTTTAGATGAATCGTGGTCGTTTACTGAGATTATTTAGGATTTCCTGTAGAAGCACAACGCGTGGGCTGGGTGTAAGCCAAGTCTCAGCTCTTCATAAAGCAGCAGGAACGACTCTCCCATCACTCTGTTGGGGAAGAAGAACGTTCTTCTCGATTGCCTCTCAACTTTTCAGCGCCAATAGCTCTTTATTTTTCATGCGTCTTGGTTACACCTGCTTCCAACCTTTGAAATTCATCATGGTGAGATCACGTGTAGCTTCCCAGCCCACCTCCCTGCCCGCTGTGGGGACACCTGCCAGCCGGTTTGTGCCTCTCCGTGGCCCGGTTGCCTGTGGTGACCTGCGAGGAGCAAGCCAGTTGAACAGAACTCGACCCGAGCACGTTTCTAGCGCCGCCTTAGAGCCTTTGACTTTTGTAACTCGTAACTGTTGGAGTGCTTGCACACCCCGCTTCCTTCGTGTCGCAGGTTGGGCCTCCATCGTGGGCTCTCTCAACTTTTGTTTTCTGTAGGACAGCGTTGAAAGGGAAGTGCTACAGCAGCAGTTGCAAGAGGCGAACCGGAAGGCTCAGGAATATCGTAGCCAGCTCATAAAGAAAGAGCAAGAGGCGGAAGAGTACCGGCTGAAGCTGGCAGCCATGGTGAGGCAGCAGCCCAACGGAGCTGAGGTGACGGTGCTCGAAGAGGTCGCCGAGGTCGACCCGCTTGTGGTAACCTCAGAAGACATCAAGGAATCCGTGCTGTCCATGCTGGAAACGGATCAGCCAACTGATATTGCTGTGGAAACTGTAACCTCCTAATCCTCGGTGATTGACTGGGTTTTGTAAAGGAAAATAACTTTTTTGTGTTGTTTTTTTGTTTTGTTTTTTTTGTTAAATAAGGTGCTGTTGGCAAGCGGTGTTGAGAGCAGAGGGCTGTTGCCAAAGCCACCCCATCGCCGGGGGTAGAAGCTTCTCCAGCCGCTTGCAGCATAACTCTGCTTTCAGCGCGGTGCCAAAAGGTGCTTTTAAAGCTTGACCTTGAGAGATTGGAAGCTTTTTAACAAAATTTTAGCCAGAGGGTGACCTGACGGCTTATTCGGTGATGTCAATACCTGCATTGTTGGGGAGTGGAAAAGAAATACCTCATTGCCAAAGCAGCTGGTATTAGCTCTCAGCTGCCTGGAAATTACAGCACTGAAAAGAGACTTTCTGCAGTAACCTGAGGTGTTCGCTCCCTTCTGCGAGGTCGAGTGACCGGAGCTGCACCTTCAGAAAAAGTAGTCTCTTGGGGTGTTGCTTTAAAATCTTGAGAGGTGCGGAGGGGATTTCCCCTTTCAGCCAAAAAGTGAATTACACGTTCTTTTTCTTCCAAAACTATGAATCCTTTTGATTGAGGCAACCTTCAATGCAAGAGCGAAGGCCGGGCTGAACGTCTGTCAGCCGGAGCATTTCACGCTATCGGGGAATACTACGCTTCGCCCTCTTTGTTTCAGGAACAATTTGGGGGAGCTCTTCGTCAGACCCCTTAATTACCCAAGGGGATAGCAAAAAATTCCTCTTCAATTTTATGATATTTAGTCAAATGTTCTATTTGACACTTCTGCGCTGACCAGTAGCGTTAACTGATTATATACGCAGAACTATACGTACGGCGGCTGCTGCAAGAGAGCTTGGGAGTCGAGCTGTCCCTGGAGATACGTATGTCACTTTTATTTTGTACTAAACAGTTTTTATTTTTAAAGATACTAAAACCTTTTTTAACAAGCAGCTGATCTTGTTACTGAAACGTTTGTCTTTTTTTTTTACTCTTGGCGGGCCTGTTTAGTGCAGGGATCCGTTTAGTACAGCGGATTATGGGTTTCAAAGACAGCAGGGAACTGATTGGAAGCACCCCGAATAATCGGGTGGAGCTTGAGAATGAAAGATTATCAAGTGAAGTTTAGAAAAATACCGTAAACGAGTGAAGTTTAGAAAAACAGCCATCACGCAAGCTGTGCCGTCGGTCGCAAAAAGGTTATAATGGCGAGGAGTGGCTTGCAGCTCCGAGGCCCCAGCAGCTGGCCTGCTCCCTGAGAGTCTCTTCGCGCGAGATAAAAATTTATCACTCTTTTGGCCCGTAGTTCATTGGTTTGGGGTTTGTTGGGGTCTTTTGCCCTAGTTTTGTAACTGTTGGCGGGATTCAAGGTAATAATTCAATGTCACGGTCCTTGCATTGCGTTTTTCCCTGCTATTTCCAAGCGTGTCCAGATAATACGGTTTTCTGTTGGTTCAGGTACTGCCTTTGTTAACGTTTCTTTGCCGATAGATCGGCCGTATCGTGACGTCGGAGACGTAATGCGGACTAACGAGTTCATAAAGGTATGAGCGTACGGTCACGGCTCTGAAGGAATTTCTCACCCCCGAGAGGAAACTGCTTTTCACCCTAAAATCAGTCAGTTCCTGGAGGTTGGGCCCGAAAAGGAAGGTGGGATCTGCCGAAACCCCGTCTTCGGCAACGTTTCACAGCGTTTCGCCGGTTGGGTTCGCCAGCGAGCGGTAGGAGAGGAAGGTTTACGTGACTGTTACTGTAAAGGCTTCGTGAGACTTGCTGGGTTTTGAGAATCTAAGTGCATTTATTTATAACCAGTGTAGCTATATTTATAAATAAGACTTTTTTATCTTTTTCCAAAAGATGGTTTGAAGAAGGCTTTAATAATTATTTTTTATCGATGAATGTTTGGAGAGACTCGGTTCCTGGTTATCGATTACTTCAGCGTTTCCTCGCTGACTTTAAGCACGTGTTAAGTTATTTTCTTTTGTTCCCCAGAACACTGATAATTTGGGTTTGTTTGAACTTAAAATCTGCGTCAGAGGGTTCGAGACGGTGTTAAAGTAAATCCAGGCAGATTCTTCTAATACCCAGAAGCGTTTACGGATGTAAAGGGACACTGTCAACTTTGGCTTTTACATTTTGCCTGAAATTTGTGCTTATTATTTGTAAATTTGAAGAGCTCGGCAGCTGTAGTGTGTATAAACGCTGTGTTGTGCCTTCGACAGCACTGCGATTCTCAGCGATTTCCATCCTTCCCCTGAAAAGGGTTGGTTTTGCCAAAAAGCCCCTTCAGCTGGGAAACAAACTTCCCCTTCAGAAGAGGAGGGGAAAAAAAAAAAGTCCGCGGCGCTCACGGTAACTGCATTTGGTTTATAGAGTTGGAACAAATAAAGCTGACAGTGTTCTTGCTGCTTCGCCTTGTGGGGGGGGAAATCACACGTTAATTTTATGTTTGGAAGCACTCGCGTACGGGGTCTGAACAAAGACGAGGAGAACTTGATCGCCGCCCAAATTCCGAAAGAATTTAAACCCGGCTGCATCCTCTGCTCTTCCACAGAAAGGATTTGGAGCTTTTTAAGCCAAGACCAGCAATTTTCTGGTCGGTGCGTAGTCAGCTGTGGCAGCGTAGGGCTGTTGTGAGCGGGTAAATAACCTCCCACGGGAGTCCGGGCCGGACTCTGCCGCGTCAGGGCTTTTCTCACCCACGCCTCGCGCCACTTTCACCGGCGAGCGCAGGATCTGAAGAGGTTAAAGGCTAAACAAACCCCTTCGCTCCCGAAGGCTGCGCTCTTACCGAGGCAGAGCAGCCGAGCTCCCCTCCGCCCACACATCCAGCCCCACTTCCCCTCCGCCGCGAGCTTGGGATCGCATCCGCGCTCGCTTGAGTGCTCGTGCGGGCGGGAGAATCCTGGCCCGCTTCCCGGGGACGCCGATGCAGAAGTTGCGGTCTTAAAATGAGCGTGTGTTGTTTCTCCTCGGTGGAGGAGGTGGCGTGGCGCTAACGGAACCAGTTTGGGTTTGATTAGACATCTATTTCCCTCTCGTTGGCAGTAACCAGCTCTAACCGGTTCCCATTCTCCTAAATCGGAAGCAGGGCGTTGTAAATCCGGCGGGGATGAGCGGAGGAGGTCACGGAAACGCAAACTAGATCCTCTCTAGACGACCACGAAGGGGAATAACAAACCCTGGGAGTTAAGCTGAGCATGGCGCGGGTCCCCCGGAGACCTCGGCCGGGGCCTTCCCTGTCCGTACCCCCCTTCCACCCCGGCCCATCGCCCGCGGGGCGCTTCTTGGTGCCAAATCTGATTATTTCTTTAATCTTGCCTTTACCAGATCGTTTTCCCCCGTGCCAGGCGCAGCGCCGGGGTATTTATCGCAGAATAAATTGCCGCTTCACGGCAGCAGGTCCCTTGCGGACCCCGTTAGCGCTGTGACGAGGAACCAAGCGCTCGGACCCCTTTTCTACTGAGGGTAAATGTTTGGAAATGTGGAAATTTCAACGTTTATACTTTTTTTTTTTTTTTGTACTATGTTTCTTAATAAAATACCACGACCTCCGTCAGCAGCTTTGCTTTACCCCTGGTGTCAGCCCTGTCCCCCTAAGTCAGCGCACTGCCACCCCCTTTGTGTCCCCTGATGTCTCATGTGCCACCGTCTCTGCGGGGACGCCCCAGGGCCACCACGCTGGGCCTCCACCCTGTCCCCGAGCTGGGCTCAGGGCTCTGGTGGCACCTTCCCCCCCACCTTGTCCCATCCCACTCTCGTCCCCCCTCGTCCCCGACAGAGCCAGGCGGGCACCGGCGGAGGAGCGACCACGTATTTAATTGCCGCGGCCGCCGCGGGGCCGAGCCCTGGTCCTACACGGTAGGACGAACCGAGCTCTGGCATGGAAAGCCACCGTGTCCCACGCCCTTCCTGGTGTCCCCACGGGGGGGGGGGGCTGGGGCCCTCGGCACGGGCGGCGGC